ACATTGCCTGTTTTTAGTAACTATTCTGATTTCATAATAGTCAGTACTGACTGTTAATGGTGATGAAACTGCCTTAGAATATTCTGCAAGACCATGAGAATACATGTCTTAACAATACTGAATCTCTTCTGTTCTGCGTGTCTCCCTCAAACAGAATATACGTTTCCCAGTTACTGTGAGACTGTCAATGATAACCCCATAAATAACAGTTCTGTCCTATAGTTTTGTCACATGATCCATTTAAGTTTCTATTTTTCCACTCTCAAAGTGCCTGACAAAGAGTGTGTGAAAAAAATGTGAAGAATACCGTTACCTCAACACTACCTTTTAACTATGTTTTGTAAAAGTAGAGAAATGAGCCCACATCATGCTCAGCATTTTGTACCACCTCTCTTTCCACTTCTAGGTTTGCATCATTATGGTTTATTATGACAACGTAAGCATTAATACTGAGTTTCATTATATATTCCCTGAAATCCTTGGCTTCCACCTGTGGTTGCAGAGCTGCCTCTTCCTTCATGTTATATAAACACAGCAGAGATGCAAGAGCAGATGGGGAATAAAAATACTGTGGCTGGTAATCAAACAGACATTTATTTGTACTCTCATCCTCTTTCTGTATCAGAGGGCAGTTATGAGGGGCAGCAGTGTTGATCCCCCACATGTAGCCTTTTCCACATGACTCTAACCTTTCTAATCCTAAGGACTGATGGAAAAGGGGTGGCGTGAAGTAGGTCCTTCTTCCCTATCAGTGATGTAAGAGCTGAAAGAAGGTGACAGCTGCTGAGACTGCTTCCATTTGAGGTATGGAGAAAGCTTAAAAATAACATGCTGTGATTTCAGACCTTTCAGCCTAAAATACTGTAATCTCTAGTAATGTGCATACTGCCGCAATCTACAGGAGTAAGACAATTTAATGTGGCAATAGGTTAGATAGAGGTGGAATGATTAATTTTGTTTTTTGCAAATGCTTTTATTTGCAGTCTTGGAAAGGAAGATCTTTTGTATTTTGCAGCATCTTTTTGGTACCAAATAAAGTCAGATAATTGTGTATCATTAAGATGGTAGCTCTGTTCTTGGAATGGAGAGTTTGAATACTTACATTTCAGAAATTCAATGCAATTATGTACATACACAAAATAGTTGATAGAGCTCCAATCATCACAGCATTTTAATTGATTTCTGGAGTTTTCTGTAGGCTTTGATTCTTTTTGTTTCGAAGAAAGCTCAACTTTTTCTTTTGTGTAAGATTAAGTGCACGAATTATGATTGACTGCGGATGTAAAATGTATAAAATTGAGTTTATTGTGCTGTAACAAAAGAGAAGGGAGGAAAAGGGGCAGGAGGCTGGGTGTTCTGGTGAGAAGAGTGAATGCTAGGAAAGCCATGTAGAAGTCTTAGTGCTTGGTGAATTCAGAGAAACTAGCTTATTGTGCAACATTTTTCTAAGGACATGTTCTGCTTTATTTTGATGTTGGGTGTATATTTCATAAACGAAAATTAATTAAAAACAGTTGGATAGCAGACAGCTGTTGTCACCTGTGTCGAAGATGTGCACTCCTAATACTTGGTCATAAAATGGCACCCAGCGCTTTAGCATTCAATGATTCTGCATAGTGCTTACCTCAGTTACATATGGAAAGCTAGTTAGTGTTTTTTCTCCTGCACTTGCAACTAAAGCTCGTACTAAGCTTATGAGCCTTGTACTGGTCTTGAGAGCATTTCTCACTTTGGCTGTTTGGAGATGATGAGACACCTTTTGAATGTTCTAGCATGTCACTTCAGAACTTCTAGGTAATATTTGTGTTAGTGGTGAACATAGTTCTCTTGGTGAGAGCTTTTTGCTCAGTTCAGTGAAAGCAAGGGAGCTAGAAGACCAGTAAGAGCTGCATGGGCTCTGTCTGTATTGGTAAGGAAGAGGGCCAGCAGCTAGTCCCTTGGCCCATGAGCTGGTACTCTAATGGCCATATCCGCACCACAGGGGATCTCTACGGGAAGTGAAACCTGCTTTAGACTTGTCTATGTTGTCTTCTGGGAATGGTGCCTGGCCTGCACAGCTCCTTGAATGGTGCCTGGGACTGTGCTTAGGCCCACTTCGTCAGTGTAGGCGAGCAGCAGGTCAGTGCTCAAGCTTGCATCCTCATCCTCTTTTACTTAGCAGTAGAGACACAGGTGTAAAAGCTGTAGCATTTTACTAGCAATGCTAGCTCACCATAGGCTGCAGAGCAAACAGATGGTTAACAGCAGTCAGAAGTCATGGAAGGCAAGTCAGAGGGCAGATTTAGATTAGATACGAGGAAGAAATTTTTCACTGTGAGGGTGGTGAGGCAGTGGCCCAGGTTGCCCAGGGAAGTTGTGGATGCCCCATCCCTGGAGGTGTTCAAGGCCAGGCTGGATGAGGCTTTGAGCAACCTGGGCTAGTGGGAGGTTTCCCTGCCCATGGCAGGGGGGTTGGAACTTGATGATCTTTAAGGTCCCTTGCAACCCAAACTATGCTATGATTCTGCGACATCCTCCCCATCCCCGTATCCCTGATGTGAGCTTTACTTACTCTCCCAGTGCTTACAGTGCTTACAAGCCAAAGAAAGGCAAGAGAAAATGGAGAGTGGCTGTCCCATGGCTATACCCAAGTAACTCTGTGGGTGGGCACAATTATGGCAGGAAGAACATCCCATAGCTTCAGCTTGTCTCAGCTGCAAACAGATTCAGTCATGGGATGTCACATAAACTTTTTCTAGTGACTCATCTGGAACTTCCCTGGCTGAAGCATTCCTGTTCTCAAACAGCCTCTGTGCACCCCCAAGTTCCTCTTGTGTCCAACACCACCATCTGCACTGGCTCCTTCCACAAGACCGTCCCTTCACTCCCACTGCTTTGACGAGGTCCTGCCCTCTCCTCCTAGTGCTGAGACAGGCATGTTTTGCCTTGCATTGCTCCAACTCGTCAGGGGTCTGGCTCCCTGATACCCAGTGCTTGTGGTTTGTGCTTGATCAGAACAAGGTCTGGTCTTTGCTGTCTTGCAGAGGACGGTGCTCGTGCAGCCACTGAAATGTGCAGACACAGCAGGGACCATCTGAACAAAAGCGAGACAGGCCAGCCAGCACTGCAGTCCATACTTGGGTAAAAGGGTGGCTCTTTGTGCCCGAGGAAAAAGTGGAAAGTAAGGGTCTGCAACTCTTAGGTGAAGTGGGGCTGCAACGGCGAGCGCTTGGCTTCGGTAGTGTTGCACTTTCCGACTCTGCCAAAGATGTTTTCATTGCTGTAGGTCAGCACAGGGACTGCAAGGCATCCGGGGGTGATGCCAGGCCTCCGCAGCCTGATGATACACCTTCGTGACCTTGGAGAGCCAAAAAAGTGCCCTACCTCTTCCCGACTGGTCAAATTATTTGCCTAAACCAAAGCCCCCACTGGGGAGCGGGGCTAACCCAGGAACACGCAGTGTGATGTACTGGTGGGGGGTGGGAAGGGGGTGGGCCTCATTTAAACCGCAGCATCAACACGTGTGTGATGCTCCTTGTGTATGGCTCCAGCGGTGGCCCCTGCAGACAGCGCCCTAACTCTGCCACCCTGCAGATACAGATCTCGCTCTTAGCACCTCTCACACGTATGATCTTGTAAAACCTTGTAATTAAAATGCTTTTACATTTTTGTAAAGTTCAGCAGAGGGAGGATTAACCACAACTGCAGATACAGATGCGTTTATTGGTCAAGCAGCCACTTCTTCCACCAGAGATGACGCACTGACAAACCAACCTTAAGCCAAAAATTAGACTAGACATGACCCAGAACTTTCCCGGGCTGTGGCACTGCCACCAGCTGGTCATTCCCTTGCTTCGCGCCACCACTTGTGGACCTAGGACTCCATTTTGACAAACCAGAGCGCTCTCATGCCCTGCTCAGTCAGCTGCTTTTATGTATTTATTTACACTGCACACTCTGCTTTTTATGTGTTTTGTATTACAAAATACAGAACTGTATTATTTGTGATATCTTAGAAGATCATTTGCATGAAAGAGGCAAAGACTGGAAGAAATAAATACTAGACGGTATAGGCAAAAACTCTTTAAAATATTTGAAGTGGTACTAATCGCCAGTAAGATGCCTGTTCATTAACTGTGACACTTTGTGCAGGTATAAAATAGAAGCTATTTTTATTTGAGAACTAATAATGAATGCTGCCTAAATGAACAACGGAGAATTAAAATGGGAGAACAAATGAAAAAAAAAAAAAAAGGTAGGAGGGGACATTCCTATCAGGTACAAGATAATTACAAAGTCTTTCAGAAGACAGACTATTTCTAGGTACAGTTTGAAGACAAATGTTAACCGACAGGAAAAAAAATCCCTGCTTAACAAGGGAAGCACATAAGATTTTAAAATATTTTTTTTTCTTTGTCTAAGATTAACCAAATAAATGAGCTTTAGAGGCAGCAACTGTGAGTGCTGACAGGTATGACTGGAGTTGCATATAGAAGCAGGAGTGTGTAACAGTTGGGGTGACATGGTCTGGAAATGGCCCTGGTCCTGCCTTGCATCTCAGAATAATCTAGCTGAGGTTTTACTTTTTCAGATAGACTGATTTTGAAAAAAAAGGGGTATTTTTATTAGAGAAACCCCACAATTGGGGTTTTCTAATAAAGAACCTTTAAGGAGAATTCTGTGAAAAAGGATGTTCCCACTTCTCAAAAGTCACATGAAAACATTGTCATATTTTTTCCTTCAGCTCTAATTCTACTAGAGAGGCAGCCACAGAAGATGCATTTCACTCGCTAGCCAGCTCTGCAAGTGCTGCTCCACCACTCCTGGCTGTCCTCATGAGTGAAGCAAGACTCTACAGCCAATTCTTACCTTGGCCTGGTGCTGGAATGTTAGTTAATGGTGGGGGGTGGCAGGGGGAAAAGGGGACAGCAGGGGGAGAGAAGCAGCAAGTTATAGGGACAAAGTGGGGGACAGAGGGCACCCCACCTTACTTCTTGAGACCCCCAGGAGGAACTCCAAAGGAGAATTCCTCCTGGAGGAGCCTGATCCAGCATGACCTTCCATGCCTCACAAAACCAGCTATGGCTTGAAGTCCACCTGTTCCCAGAGTTCAGGAGCTGCTGCCCCTTTTCTTCTCAAGAGCTTTCATCAGGTCAGACATGAAGTCTGCTTGCCTGCCTCCACCCCCAGTCGCAGGGGGCCCAGCTGGCCGTGGCTCTCCAGCCTGTCCTGGGTTTTCCAGCCTTTTTGAAGGAAGAGGCACAGGTTTCTTTGTTGGAGGTGGTGGCTTACTGGAGAGAGGCGGAGGTGGAGGGGGTAATGGCAGGTCTCCATTACCACTGCTGAAGACTGGTGGTGGAGGGGGCACAAAATCAGGAGGAGGTTCACAGAAATCAGATGGTGGTGGTGGGAAATCATTCTTCAATGTAGGCGGCGGTGCTGGAAAGCTATCTGGATCTGTGAGGAAAACACCGCTGTCTCTTTTGACTTTGGAGGGTAGAACTGGTGAAACAGAAATAGCAGATGATCGCCTTTCAGGTGGGGGAGGAGGCTGCAGTGAATTCCTCTTACTCTGGTATTTCTGTGGCTTTATCAATGACGGTGCCAGGCCAGGTGCACTGACATTATTTGACTTAGCCTGTAATGAGCAGAAGGAATAAAAGGACAAGACACAGTCAGTGCATGTGTAAACCAATGCCACTGCCTAAGAACAGTGAAAAGATGTGAAAATATATGAGAAGAGTAGACAGCAAAATGAAGTAGAGTACATTGTGCCTCAAGAGTGCAAATAGTATTTTGTTTTCTTTCTGGAGCTGCCCACAGAGCTTTGACAGTGGAAATCTCCATGTTAGACTGTATTCATAGTGCTTCTTTGAGTAGTTGTCAGAAAACGAGTGCTTTTAAAATTTCAAAGAATTGCAGTTAGTAAGATACTTTCTTGATGTTCCACCCTGCTGTTTATTTCCCTGAGAACATGAAGCCTTAATAAAAAAATAAATCTGTGCTGTGTTTTTACATCTGAAAATACTGAGCAAGATTTGAGAACGTAAAAAGTAAATGTCATTCTGGCTCTCGACCCCGTTGTATCTCCACCTCCCATTCTAGCTGTGACTGCTGGATCGCTGGATGAAGCTAAAATAATGAAGTCACCTATCTCTGCCAAACTCACTAGACACAACAGCAGCGAACCAGGAAGAAGGTGGAGAGATTTGGAAATTTTAAAGTTTATGTGTCTGGATTCACAGTCCCCAGCACTCTGCAGCATGGCATGATGTGCGTTCACTCGCAGGATAGTGCACTGGCCCCGCTCCGGGCGGGAGAGAGAGCTCAGCAAAGCACTGTGAAGGAGACACTTGGGAAAGCTGTCTGTCCCGATGCTGTGGTGCACAGCAGGGGAAACACACTCCACCGGTGACCTGGCAAGGGCCTCTGATAAGCCTGGGGAAGGGTGTCTTCTGCCTGCTGGGCAAGGCACGTGCACACACCTCCTCCACTTTCGAATCAATAGTGCGACAAACAGGTCCTCGAAGCCACTAAGTTCTAGCCATGTTTGCAAGGTCATGAGACATTCAAACCCTCTGACAATTTTTTGGAAGGAAAAAATGAATCAAAGCATCCATCACACAAGTTAAGAAAAAAAAATGTAGGACAGCAGTTCATTATGGAGATGTTTATTTTTACAAAATTTTAGGTGGCTTTTCTTTTAAATTGTGTTTGCTAGTCAATGCTCTGAAGATAAATAAAGCCCATTTGGTGATACCTGAATATAATTTGCTCTTCCTTTTTTTTTAGGTGGCAACAGGTAGCTGTTGATAGTGTGTTTGTGTAGTAACTATCTCTTGTAAACTTGTGGAGAAGTCTGCTGTCCCAAAACCAAAGCTTTGTAACATATTCATTTCTAGTTATGCTAACTTATCAGTTTAGATCCAGCTACCTTAGTGCTCTAGCTCTAGCACAGTGCACCCTGAAAGACTTCAGCCTGACCCTTTGATCCCAGGCTTGTAGAAGCTGTGAGATGAAGGTGGCAACATGTTTGCTTCTGCTAGAGAAAAGTGCTCTGCAACCCTGCAGTCGGCAGTACTAATTCTGGTATTAGCTAAGTATAACATGCACGCCTTCTCTTCCTCACTCTCCTTACCTACAAAGATGGAAGTAAACAAGACAAAGGAAGAGAGGGAACTACTGTCTGACTTCTGAGAATGTGATCTATTCCAGAGGAAGTGAGATTCAAAACAGAAACAAATCTTTTCAAAGGCGGAACTCAAAAGACAGGAACAAGAAGCATACAACATGTAATGCAGGTGACAGAAAAACCCTAGGAATTTCATTGCACTTGTCCTATTCACTTTATGCATGATGGAGGGATTGAATAATGAAACGCAAACAAATGCAGTTTTTTTTTTTTTTTTTGGTAGGATGTTTTTGAAGTCCTCATACTGTACCCTACTGATATTTTTACAGCCAGAGGTGGTGCAAATAGACAAAATTTGGAGTTTAACCAAGAAATGCATTTAGAGCCTAATGAAAGCATGTAATGTTTTCCCTTACTTCTTCACACTTTCTCCTTTCTTACACATTCATCTTCAGCTGTGCACAGTGTTCCCTGCTGAAAACACTACTGTATCCTTTGTGTTACTAAGGCAAGACCTGTTTTCTGGCAGACAGAAAACAGCACTCAGGTTCTGGCACACAGACTCTCTGAGACTGTCCCAGTAGGCACGTTCCTATT